AACTATTCAGCCGGGTATTGTTCTGGCCTGCGCGAAGGTGGAATGGAATAGATTAAAAGGTGATCTATCTTTAGCACAAAAACCTACATGAGCCGTCGACGGAGAGGAGAGCTATCGCACGGGACGACTATAGCTGGTGGCTAAGGTGCCGACTGTGGGACCAGTAAAGGGAAAAGGTGCGGAACCAGCTCTGAGAGGGGCTTGTCTAAGATGCAGGTGAATCCTTGTGAGCCTTTGCAGGTCGCAAGAGACAAATGGAAATTGGTTGCCTTCTACATAAATAGCGCCACTGTTTATTGAATAATGGATCAAATCCATAAGCCGAGAGCCGTCGATGATTTATGTCATGTGGGAGGTATCTCGAAGTGCCAGTACATCATCTGTGGGATGATGGCTGACAGTGGCCGGTGGGGAGAGGGGGCTGACGCTATCTGTCTCTGTGCTGACCGGGCTGCTGGCGCGCGCTGTGGCTTCGGCTCCCATCCGTCACCTACTCCTTCTGTCGTGAGATGCGACCCGACAGGGTCGCTGCCGCTGCCGCTGGGCTGCCGATGTTGGGCCGGCAACACTGGGTGACAATTGACACACAACACAGATTCGACAACGTAATATTTGACAACGGATATTTGACATACACACTTAGCACAGACCTGACGCCAACTGACACCTTCCTGACACCTTCCTGACATCGGTTGTCTCCTGGCACAAACCCGACACTGGACACAGGGTGCACTCTGGCTCCAACCTGACAGATATATCTCCTCGCCCTCTGTTTCATACTTGTCACCTCCGGTGCTCACAACTCATCACCTGGGTGCCTGTTACACTCAGTACCCTGCCCCCCCCCCCCCACCCCAGCGCGTCTAACGGTGCTGCCACGGATGTAGAGGGGAGGGGACAAGACCACCTGGCCTGGGAGATCGACCCGTGGCCCGTCGATTCAGAGTGGGTTAATCATGACGAACATATAAACAGGGGCACGATTGGACCGTAATTCAGTCGTAGCACTAACCCACCATGTTGAAAATAGCCTCGAGAATCAATTCATTTGATAACAGGAGCCATTAGTTCGCCCTTGCAGAAAATGTTAGCGGCCGTCTTATGCTAACACCAATTAGCTTCATAAGGCAAGACCGGTCTAATCATCTATAGCGCCAACATATTCAGATATACATATGCGGCCTGGGGCAAGGCCGCACAGGCACTCTGGGGCTGACGATGCATACTAATCAGTCCAAATAAGCAATCGATGGGTTGCACATCCAGCGGCGCCTACTGCAGATCATGCAACGCTGCATCACAGGGGTGGGTGCCGCCGTCATTGAGAGTTTCAGCAGCGGCCGTCTCGCCTGGGCCCGCGGGTGACCGGTCACGTGACCAGAACGCCGGTCACGTGACTAGGGCACCGGTCACGCGCGCCCCTGACCTAACTGACACGGACGGTAGCTGCGGTAAGCGGTAAATGAGATCACTCCGGTCGGAGGGGCGAGGCCCGTCAGTGATTTATCTGCGTTCAGCACACAGATCACCGGCCGAGTCAACAGGAACCGGTGGGGGAGACGCGGCCACCGAGGGTGGCATGGTGAATGGAAATGACGGGACAAACCAAATAGGGATGGTGGGGACAATGTGATAGAAGCCAGAACTTATAGGGAGATTTTACAGATTGAAGACGGCCCGGGGCGGATTTCTTTGAATCAATCAGCATTTCCTTTCATGATTAATTTTTTTTTAATATTTACGCTGCCTGCAATGATATTCAGCAAGGCTGTAAAGATTAGTTTCCGAATGAGCTTTTAATTTCTGCATGGAATTATTTTTTTTTACATAAAATATTAAAGATTTTGACACATTCTCATGGAACATTTTTTGCTCGTCGGAATTAAACTTGAAACGCTCATCACCCGACAGAAAGGCAGCGATCTGTGTTTGTTTGACTGCGACGACAGTTCTCATATCGATGTCACTGCATCCGACAGCGAGCGGTGACGAATTTAGCAGCGGTGGGAGGTGGCGACGGTACGGGGCCGACGGACGCTCAAAGCCCGGGGGCCGCCGCCCCTAGTCATTAATTATGGCCCCACCAGAGGCGGCTTTTGTATTGGGGATCCTGCCGGTTGTGTGGGCGCACCGGTCCGTGGTATTGGGAGGTGTTAATTTCACATAGCAACGGTTCGGCAGGCTGATATTGGCACGGAATGGGCCCACGAGGGCCAAACAAGCACATTGGGATGGGATTTAGAAGGACTTCTTTTTGAGCTTAGCATTGCCATGATTCAATATAACAATGAACTAGCTTGATAGATCCGCTTAATTGCACACATTCTTGGGATGGTATGGATCTGACTCCATGGCCCATCGTTCAAACGTTTTTAAGAATTTCAATTACGGATTTAGTGTAAGATGGGACAACGCTGAGGCCATAGGCACGGTGTTAAGCATATATCTTCTCTCAGAAGGCCACCACCAACTTGTCTCTACCCTTCTTGGAGAGCCGGCGGACCAGCAGCGCTCTCTGTTTGAGCTGCTTAGGCTGTCTGGCTGAGCCGCCAAGAGCTGTCTGGTCAGGCGGACCGATCGAGTTGAGCCCAGACTGCAGCTGATCAGCCGCAACACAGCACAATTTGTCCGTCACGTCCGAGTGCTCTGCACCGTGCAGCGACGGCCGCGCGTAACGTGACGACCTCTAAACAAGGCGACACGTCGACCGTGACGCCGGAACGTGACGCTACGGACGTGACGTTACGGACGTGACGCTACGGTACCACACTGACCTGCTATCAGCGGATCAGAACTAAGGTGGGGCGAATTGAATCATTTTTTGCCATGGTAAAAAAGAACTTTGTGAATTAAAAACTACCTATCATGGTGATTTTACTCGTCTCTTATAATTCTGTTTATGCGACCCACAAAGGAACTTATTGTGTTAAATTTATGATAAGTTGCCACGTCTTGTTTTAAATATTCACATATAACAGCGTGCAGATTAAAGAGGCGTTGATATCACGCTGCCAACCCTAATGCGCTCAGTGTCAGAGTGTCCGTCAGGAAGTTTTTTTTTGGCACTGATCTCCGCCCACCACCTCCTGAGGATAGTATGTACCGACTACCGGTCTAGCCTTTCTGTTTGTGTAATAGAAGCGCGGAAGAAAACAATCTGAGCGTGTCTGTTTTTGTATTTGGAAAACAAACTGCATCCCCAGACACCCGCACTCTCGGCCTTGCTCTCGGCACCTCTTGTCTGCGGGTGTAAATATGATAAGCACCTGTCCAGAAGTAACAAACAGCTCCTGTCAGGAAATAATCGGGTCAAAGCTTCCAGTAGCGTAAAACATATGCATCGTTTCCTACAGCCAATTCCTATTGAACAACTTCAACAGATACTCTGTTCAGGACAATGTTGCTCGTAGATATGAACTCGAACCGTGGATCCTAACTGATGATGTCTACTTGGAAGGCATATCAATACTTGTGTCACCTTGCTCCTCCGCCAAGTTATTTCTTCGGTTTTGTCTCAGCCGGTAAGTGGTACCGGGTGTAACTTGTTCTTAGAGTTCGACCAATCTCCACGAGGTCAGAGCGGCGCCCTCAGACAGGTCAACGGCCGGTGCCCCCGACAACAATGCCGCTAAGTGCCTCGCTTGTTCACCCCTTCAGTGCTCATTGTACCTGAAGATCTGTGTCTCTGATTCGGGTCAGTCTCTTGAGTCATATGCCGACGCCGACGCAGAGCTCATCTGAACGAGATGCAGCGCTGCAGGTATGCCTGTTAGTGAGCTCTCTGAGAAAGACTGAGCCATGCTTCCCGCGACCTGACCGGCGCGATGGTGTGTACTGTCTAGGTATGTGAGGTTTTCTTGTACTGAGAGACTACAGTCTTAGCACAGCCTCTGAAGTCCTGGACGGGCTATACCGAGACGGGCTGGGCGTGAGGCGCTGCGGATAGTCTGGGTTAATCCTGTGGGTTTTGGCGCCTGTGACACGGCAAGTGTGTTTGTCTCGAGAATAGCAAGACAAGTGAGCGGATGACGGTTCGCACATCACCGAATGTTATGCCTCCGGATTTTCAGGAGCAAGCAAACCATTCTTACTTCGCCACTTATATAAGGGTCACATACAAAGCACGCAACGCAATGGTATTTGAGTGGTTTCGATAGCATTATTTTTATTCCCGTTTTAAGCTTCGGAACATAAAGCTGAAAGCTTTAAAAACATGAAAAGTGCAGCGCTTGCAGGCCCTATAATAAACCATGGTAGCAATTACAAGGGGTCGCGTAAGGTGAATTTTTGACGCATTGTATCGTCAGTCAGCAAGGTATGAAAAATGCAACGATATGCGCATAGCCCACTGCACTTGTACACTGTAGAGTGTAGACTGTAGAGTTGCGGCGATTCACCAATATTTATCATAAACGTATGAGCAAGCAACGCAGCGTCGCAGCTTCAAAGTATTCCCGGCGAATCACCCAAACTGTATGTTCATCTCTAAGTCACGGGCGCGGCCTTCATAAGTGCTTTACCATGTCTGGGCGTTGCCCGGTACTGTCCCACAAATGGCATCATTTAAGGCGCTGATTTATTTCATACGGGCTTATTCAGCACCTTTGTCCAGCGGGGCGCCGTTCATCTTATCGCGGTCATTTAGCGAGCGGTCTCGGTCCACCCGGACAACACGGGTCGAGGTCAGACGGGAGATTACGTCGGCCATAGGTCATGAAAACGACAGAGATCTGTCTCCAGAAACACGTGCAGTCAAATGAGTTCAGCAAAAGATGCCATTTTTGGTCCCGGTGTCTATGTTGCGCTGCTTTAACCACTGATTGTATCGAGAGCATGTGAGTGAAGCTGCAAGTAGGGTGTTGATATCAATGACCAGTAGTCTGAGGTCAAGATTACTGTCTGAGGTGGTTCCGGGGCTGGAGCAGTCATTCCCTTTACCATCGCTGCTCGTATCGTATCGTATGACGATCGTATATTTGACGCGTCCGTGTCCTCCGCAGAGCACCATGTCCCAGCTCGGCGCGCTGCCTCTGGCGCTCCTGGCGCTGTTGCTAGCCCACTCAACTCTCGCCAAGAAGACGCCCGTCTCACCCCCGGCAGAGCCGCCGATCGACTACGAGTCCTTGGAGAACGTCTGCGACCTGGTCGACATGGTGGAGACCGTGTTCTGTTACTGCGACTTCCTGGAGCGCGGCGAGGGCGAGACGGCCAACTGCTTGGTGTACAACAGCCCGCGCGCCTCAGACCGCGTCTGGGACGCGTTCTACCACCAGCCTAACCTGCACCGGCTGACAATCAGCGGCCGAGGACAGGGCGGCCTGGACGCTGTGCCCACGCGCGCGCTCCGCTACCTCCGACAACTGTGGGCGCTCGAGATGAAGAACACCGGCATCACCAACGTCACCGAGGACGCGTTCGGCCGCTCCGAGAGCATCTCCGACCTGGTGCTGTCCGGCAACGGCATCACGGAGCTGGCGCGACGCTCCTTCAGGCACCTGACCAACGTTACCCGGCTGAACCTGGGAGAGAACCAGCTGCGGGTCATCAACCGGCATGTGTTTGTGGACATGCCACGGCTGAGGCATCTCTACCTGGACCGCAACAGCATCACGCGGGTGCGCAGCGGCGCGTTCGTGCAGCTGTCCGAGCTGCGCGACCTCGATCTCTTCGGCAACGAGCTGCGCGCCGTGTCGCGCGGCACGTTCAAGGGCCTGTCGCAGCTACGGAGGCTGTTTCTGCACCGCAACCAGCTGGAGGTGATCGGAGACCGGACGTTCGCCGAGCTGCCGCGGCTCACCGAGCTCGATCTCTCCGAGAACCGGATCCAGTTTCTGGGCGGCCACGGCCTGGAGGGGCTGGGCAACCTGGTGAAGCTGGTGCTGCGGGATAACCGTCTGACGCAGCTGCAGCCGGCCACCTTCAGCCACACGCCCGGCGTGTTCTACCTGAGCCTGCAGCAGAACCGCCTGCAGACCCTGGAGCAGGCCACCTTCCGGCCCATCATGGACAACATGAACAACATCACCATGTACTTCTACAGCGCAGGTCAGTGCCGCGGCAACTCGTGCATGCCAACATGTAAAGACTTTCTTCATAGCGGAACCTGCTGCCTGTTAAAAACATGACAGTTATGCCCGTGGTTATTCCATGTATGTAAAGCAATTAAAAAAATGAGTACATCAGTTTAGTTGAACTCAATAACAACTACGTAAGCATTTTGTTTTCGAAAGCCCCTTGACAACTTTTTCCTGCTAAATGCAGGGTATATTGCAATCGTTCATGTCTTCTTCGCTTAATCAGTCTTAGCAGGACATTTCCAAACGAACACAACCCAGGCACGGCATAGAGCCATTTAGGAGTGCATGCGATCGGGCCCGTGGCGATCTCAGGCGTTTCTTTTTAGCATGTTGATGACATGTTACTTCAATTTGTCGGTAACTCAAAGGTTAGCGCCGGTTTCCTACGATTTCATGCCACTGCAGTGTGCCATGAAGACATTCGGCTTTCTTCCAGGCCATGCCACGCGTTTCAGACAGGAATAGACGGTATTCGCTACGAGTACCTAAACATTTTTGAACATTTTTTTTAAAGGTAGTGTGCCAGCTTTCTTGGACCGTATGGAGTTAATGGCCCAGATAAGGAGAACCGGATTTTTAGAACTTATCCATACCTTCAAAACTCATGGAAACGTCTTAAATTCTTCAAATTTTGAGTACCCCAGTGCGAAATTCGCCCCGACGGGTTGTCGGTCGTACCCCAACCACATTTCACACCACTATGAACAATAAATGCACACACTGAAATCGCTATTACCGATATGCTCATCCAATCAAGTTTCGATAAACCCGTTCATCATCATCTCCTGCGGTTTCGAACACGCCTGTTAGGTGGCTTCTGATGCTCGTCGAGGTCGGAATTTCCAAATACGCGTGGTGCGTCGGGCCGCGCGCTCTGACTTCGGCCAAGAAAAATGCGTCAGCTGATCATTGTCATTTCTGCCACTTGCGTGTGGTGAAATGGGGTCATAACTTATAAGACGGCTTTTTCATATCAATTATTTTACATAAAGTCATATTTCAAACCATAAATAATGTTCGACAGCCAAATAAAAGAAACAATACCAATACGGGCTTACAGTTTAAGGCTCGACATTGTGTTGTCTACGATTAGACAGCTGATAACTCATTCCCGTACGTCGTATGGTCGTAACACTATAATGACCTTTGCTTATTGTCACAAGTGCGCCGCATTCGCGATTGTTGCCCGACGCCTGTTTGCAGGTGAGCCCACTACAGTTGTTATACATATCTAAAAACCGAAAAACTTTTAGGCGAAAAAGGCACTATTCCAGGCCCATTTTTGATTTTTTTTTGCGATATTATGTAAAAACAGAAGCTTCTTATCCTAGGAAAAATAAAATGGGAAATCTTTCAAAGGTGGCACACTACCTTTAAAAGCAAAATTTAATTGCCTGAGATGATGTGAGCACAGTACGATTTAAAAGTTGTTAATGCTTGTTGGACCTAGTTAGAATGTGATTATTATTGCGAGAGAATCTATATTACTATTTGTGGTGACGTAGTTTCTGTCTGTTACCGAGGTCGCGACATGGTGCTATGTAGCGCGGGTTACAGGTCACACCGTTGCACCTACCGCGCTGAAGTTTGCGCAGCTCATAGAACAAGGATGGACAACGTGCCTTTGAGGGGTCTCAGCTCGATCGGGTCGATAGCGAGCGCGTGGCGCGTGCCCGAAAAGTGCAAATTCGCGTCATAGACTTTACATGTATAAATCGGCGTGCGAAATTGGGCGAAAACGGCTAAATTTGGCCGACACGGGTCCGGTTTCCGTGCAATATCTCGGTAACCGAGCGCCCGATCCGCACGGGGAAAACAGCATCGTGTAGAGAATCGAACGGGCTATCGAATGATGTGCGATGCGGAGGATGGCACGTGCCGCGTGCACCCGTGAGGGCACTTTTGTTTGAAAAAAATTGACGTTTCGGACGGATTTTGGACTTTATTTTATTTTTACTTGACCGCAAGACAGAGCGAGTTAAAACAACGCCTATTGGCAAGAGAAATGTACCACCTTTCATGGAAAAATTGCGAAAAGCTTATTGATTAAAAACAAGGTGGAACAAATCGCTGGAGAAAATGACATTTGTCCATAATGTGCCACTACATAATTACACGGGATTTGCTGCTTAACCTGATACGTTTGACAATTGAAAATGCTATCATTAGAAAGAGCATTCAATTTTCTCCAAGATCCAATCATCACGTTTGCATGACAAGCAACAGTATTCTTAAAAATATAAATGTTTCAAACCTCTGCAAATCCAATTTTAGCGAAAATTATCTACGCCTTTCATTTATCATAAAACTATGCACTTAAATTATAAAGCACATCTGACAGGTTCTGAAGTAGAAAGCATGCCTATCAGACACGGGCACCTCGATGCGATGGATATTCTTTCCAAACCAAATCGTTTAGCCATCAAAAAGCAATCGACCGAAATGGATAGATAACCCAACCGACACAAGAAAACCAACCGCCTGCCGATCGTAAATGCCTCTTTTCGCGTTGCGGAGAACGCGGGTCACCCTAGTATGAATCTATGTAGGTAATGATAAAAATAAGAATATGAATATTATCGGAGCAAACAACAATATCTGGGTAGAATTCACAGTCGCCACCAGCCCGTTATACCTACGTTCCTCGTCTCCAATCGTCTCCCGTCGTCTCTCCTGCCGTCTCTCCCGTTATGTCTTCCGCCGTGTCTCCCGCCGTGTCTCCGGGGCGGAGATTCTGCGGAGGTCGCCACTCCTCTCCGATCGGAGAGGGACAAGGTCAGGGCGACCTCCGAGATGAGCGATCACCGGTCGGGCCGCGGCCCATCGCCACCCTCTGCTCCACCCCTGTGTCGGCGGGAGCGATGGCCTTCTCATCGCGTTCATGACGAATATCTACCCGTTCCAAGAAGACGAAAACCAAATTGACTATCTAAGTAAATTGATTATCCCAGGAGTGTTGGGCTTGGTGCATCCTGGGCCTCGTTTCATAAAGCGAGTCCGTAACTTACGCCGGTTTTTGGGCTTGTATTGCAAGCGCATGCGAAGCGATAAATTTATTTTCCCTTCTCCCTTCTGTTCTTGCTTGTAAAATAAATAAATTCAACGATTCAAACTATCGTCATCGCTTCACATGCACTTGCAATACAAGACCAAAAACCGGCGTAAGTTACGGACTCGCTTTATGAAACGAGGCCCTTGTCGGACCCACGTATCACCCAATGTCACGGTAATGCGCTCTTCTCTTCTTTCGCCTACATCATCTTTACCCCACCAGCTAACCCTTGCGGTTGAGGCTGCCACCGACCCATCACCGCCAAAATTAACCCTATTAGTGGCAGACTGCACTGTAAGACCACCCACTGCCCCCTCCGCTGCCGCCGTGCCGGTCGTTTCTAATCCTATGCATGCCGACAATATATTGTCGGACGGGCAGAGGCTTCCGGCCAGGTGAGGAATGCGGGGGAGGGGAGGGGGGTGTTCGACCTGCAGGTGGTCAGAGCTACCACGGGCCGAGGGGTGTTGGTATTGGCAGGTCATCCACCGCTGTCTGACCTTTCTGTATCCGCCCGACCTCCTTCTGACCTGTAGGTCACACCAGTGTAGTTGGAAAATATGGGACAATCGAGAGCTGTTAGATCAGAGTCATGGAAAATGTGGAATATTGAGAGACCTTATGGCAAAATCACACATGGGTGTTGCCTTCGTAAAAATACAATTAAACCCCGAGAGGCTGAAACAGATCGGAACATTACTATCGGCTGCGCTGACCTTACAACGGACATTCTCTCCCAGTCAGTGCAGTGTCCACCCTGCAGCTCAGCGGTGGCTGGGCGGCTGTTTGAGCTCGGCTCCTACTTCTGCACCCGTCTGGTACTCTGTAAAACACCGGACATAGCTGTGGTCAGTCAGCACCCGCGGTCCTTCCACGAATGGACCGGTCTGGAAAACTTATTTTGCCATGAATTTAGGGACCCTGCATCCACATGACAGCAAGTGTAGGACATAATTGCGAGATATAGGCGCTCACTAAGCTCACTAGTCACTATAACACGGAAAGTGGCTTGGTCAATTTTAAGTGCAGCTAGTTTGTAGCGTGGGGCCGGTCGCCCCTCGTCGTTGGTGGCCTGCACCCTCCGTTGCGCAGCTTTCTTCTACCGTTACCCGAGCGGTGCAGGTGTGGGACCCAGTGACCTCCACTTGACCTTAGCTAATTGGGCTGTTCCGGTCGGAATAGAAAGGTGACCCGGTGACGGGGCAGGTCAAATGTTGACTATATCGAATCGTTGCAATCTGAGCCATTTAGCCACACTAGTGGTTTTTAAACATGTCTTTCTGAGACATTGCTTACTGTTCTTTTTCCTGGTAACAGTGCTATTGGTTCTGCAAACGCAATGCAGGAAGCTATTTAAAATATAGTTGCGAAATAAGGCGTCACCTGAGAGGGTGTATGGCGACTAGCTGGATCAAAAGAAGAAAAGTTAGAATGTTTACGACTTTTCTGGCCTGCTAATGCATGTTTGACGCGTTATTGGAAGATTTGTGACATGGTTTTTATGTAAGGCTGGGTTGAGCTGCAGTAATTTCTTCATGATTGATTTATTCACTCGATTGATTGTAGATAGGTGTTTTAGCAAGTCTGCAGCAAATAATCCTTGCAGAAAAAAAAACACCCATCCGATAGGCGATTAATGGTTCCGACTGGTGTACCTTCGTGCACTGCGATGCTCTCTGAAGGGCAACTTTAAATCCGATTTGATGTGCAGTTAACTTATGTATGTTGATAAAATGAGAACCAGTCGCAGATAGAAGTGCTTCTATGTATTCTAAGTATCTGCTCAGCAGATGTGAAAATGGATAATGCTTCATGCCAATAATGATGAGCATATGTCAGCCACAATAGCCTCATTGTTGCCAGAGCATGTTTACAAAGGAGCTAAGTTGCAAGGTATCTAGGTACGTCGCAGTTGA